GGGGGATCCAGTGGATGGAGGTTACTTAGATTTCCGGAAAGCCTCTGACCAGTCCCTCACCAAAGGCTCTTACGTAAAGTTACTTGTCATGGGAGAAGAGGAAAGGCCCCCTCACGGATTGAAAACTGGTTACAAGACAAAACTGAGGGTAGAAATAAGTGGTCAGTTCAGAGTGGAGAGAGGTAGCTAGTGGGGTCCCCGAAGGGTCCATTCTGGGACCAATCCTATTCAATCGATTTATAAGTGATCTGGAGAAAGGGGTAAACAATGAGGTACCAAAATTTGCAGATGATACCAAACTGCTCAAGATAGTTAAGCCCAAAGCAGACTGAAGAGCTTCAAAAGAATCCACAAAACTAGGTGATTGGGCAACAAAATGGCATATTAATTTTCATGTTGATAAATGCAGAGTAATGCACATTAGAAAAAATAATCCCAATGATACATACAATACGATGGAGATGAATTTGGCTACAAGTACTTAAGAGAGATCTTGGAGTCAGTGTGGATAGTTCTCTGAAAACATCCACTCACTGGGCAGCGGCAGTCAAAAGAGCAAACAGAATGTTAGGGATCATTTAAAAAGGGATAGAGAATAAGACAGAGAATATCTTATTGCCTCTGTATAAAACCATAGTACGCCTACATCTTGAACACTTGTACAGATGTGGTCACCTCATCTCAGAAAAGATTTCTTGGCATTTGGAAAAGGTTCAGAAAAGGGCAACAAAAATGATTAAGAGGTTTGGGAACAGGTCCCATATGAAGAGAAAAATCAAAAGATGGGGCTTTTCAGCTTAGAAAAGAGGAGATTAAGGGGGGGAATAGGATAGAGGTCTATAAATCATGACTGGTGTAGAAAAAGTGAATAGGGAAAAGATATTTACTTCTTCCCATAAGAACTAGGGATCAACTGAAATTAATAGGTAGCAGATTTTTAAAAACTTTTTCTTCACACAGTGCACAGTCAACCTGTGGAACTCCTTGCCAGAGGATGTTGTGAAGACCAGGACTTTAATAGTATTCAAAAAAGAAGTAGATCAATTCATGGAGGTCAGGTTCATCAATGGCTATTAGCCAGGATGGGCAGGGAGGGCGTGGAAATGGGTGACAGGGGAGGGATCACTGGATGATTCTTCTGAGGGCACCTGGCATTGGTCCCTATGGGCAGACAGGGCTCTGGGCTAGATGGACCGTTGGTCTGACCCAGCCTGTCATGCTTGCTGCACTGTACTGAGACCCCATTACCTGTATTCTTAGGCAGTCAGGAAGTGGGGAGCCATCCCGCCACCTTTATCCTGTTAGATGTTCCTTTGCTCCTCAGGCAGTCAGCAGCCTTAGCCACTTCCACTCCCTTTCTCCTCAGCAAGCCAGGATTTTCCTCAATCCCCAAAATACACAGCCACAGACTCTTCAGCTCTTGTAAAAGCTTCCCCAGTAACTCAGCTCTCATCTGCCGGCCAATTCTTCAGCAGCCCTCCCAGCTAAACAAACCACATGTGACATTCATTCCAGAGTTTCCTCTCCTCTGGGTGTGCTTTAAGGGCACCTGATCGAGAACTGGGACCCACCTTCACTTTCTTGACGCTGTTACCACTGGGCTGAACCTCCTCAGAGAGTCTCCTCTTCCTTGGCTTGCCCTCCGGAGTGCTTTCCAACACACCTCCTTCCGCAGGCACTGGAGCGGCGTTCAATCCCAGAGGGTCAGACTAAAAGGGTTAGTTCCAGGCATACAGTTACGAGAAGAATCATTAGCTCACACGCCTTCCACAGCCCCACATATCCCAGCTGGAGAGAACAAGCTCTCATCTTTCCCATGTCATCGCCCCAGTCTCTCACATGCAGAGAGTTCAAGTTAGGAACTACAGAGTGGCCTTACTCTAGGCAGCGCCCTAGAAGAGGTGCAGAATCTGAGACAACTCCAGCAGTGCGCCGCCGCCCTCCCCCAAAATGCCTAGCCAGGACCAGACAAGACTCTTGCAGCTGGTAAGCTGCTTCCCCACAGTGCCCTGATGGTAGCAGGTGAAGCAGACCCTCCGACGAGGCGCAATCCCACTCCTACAGGAGTGCATGTGACTCCCAGCAAGGCACCCCACATTCCTATGACTGCCTGAAGCAAACAGGTCCTCACAATGACATCATGTTGTCCCAGGACAGGCATCTCCCACAGCGACTGGTTGGTGAAACGGTTGAAGTAGTAAGGACGATTCTCCCGCTTACTCCAGCACTTCTCCCAGCCTGCCTGCACCAGCTCATCTGGAGGAGAGGAAAAGTATCAGCACAGGAGCAGCCCTGAACAGCAACCCTGCTGCTCCCGCCCCCATCGCTGCCACCACACGTGCTGATCTGGGAAGGGGGATTGTCCCAGCCCGAGAGGCTCCTTGCCCTAAACTTCCCCCTCTCCCTCCCTGCTGCCAATGGGCTCCAGAACCCTAACCCTGAGCTCTGAGAGCAGAACAAGTACCTGGCAGGTCCTGCACCAGTCGGATTGGTTTCGGGGAGCTGGGCTGGGTCTGGTTAGAGGTACCAGGCGAGTGACTCATCAGAGAGGCTTCCTCCCTGGGGCTGCCGTGATTCTCATTGGCCATTTCTCAGCACATGCACTAGAGAAAATAGGAACAACCAGCAGATGAAATGATGATTTGGCCAAGGCAGGTTGTGTGCCCAGAGTCAGTTCAACAGCTTAGCTCTAGAGTCCAAGCCCGTATCAGCAGTGCCCCAGGGCTCGAAACGGGGAAAGAGCAGTACCTGCTCAGTGGCAGAGCGCTGCTACCTGCTCAGTGGCAGAGCGCTGCTACAGGTGCCTGTTAGCCTATTTACATACAGATTAATGGGAACTCAACTGCAAGAGGAAGCACTTAGCAGCACTGGAAATACACAACTAGACCCCATGTGAAAGGTTGAGTGCCCATCCCCCCACTCGCCTACCGGAGAAGGCAGCAGCTCCTCACCTGAAAACAGACCTGCCCCCACCACCCCTCCACAATGCCAGGCACACAGCACACGCTGGCCTGCTCCAGTCATTTTTAGGAGGTAGCATAGGCTTAAAAATACACGCACACTTTGTTAGCTTTAAACACGAGGCAGCCAGGAAACATTCATGCACTAAAATACGAATTCCAATGCTCTACTAGAAAGGCAACCAGGGAGCCACAGGTGCAGACACAGGCTGGGAGGCAAGAACCCCTTGGTATCCTCACTGATCTGCTCCAAGGCTTTGAATAAGTTCCTGCACTTCTCTGCATGTCAGTTTCCTGAGCTGCAAAACAGGGGTGATGCTCCTGTCTGCCCACAAAGGCAAACAGGAAGGTTAATAGGTCACATTGCTCAAGCACCATGTAACTATTTATTAAATGTCAGTTGGACAGAAGCCTCCCTGTAAAAGTACCAAAACAGTTAGTATTGAGTCAAGCACTAGAGATGACTTCTCTATCAGTCCTAAACATCCTACTTCTACGGTGAAAACAGGAAAAAGGGATGAATATTAAGGCATTTCCAGCTGTTACCCCAGTTTCTCCAACACCAACTGGGCAGCTGCCTTTGTATTTCATTGCCCTTATCTCCCCCAATTCAGCATTTAAGACGGGAGAAAAGAGGTGGCACCAAATACTTGCATTTAAGTGGCAATAATATAACATCACCAAGTGAGCATGTTCTCATCTTTCACCTACAGAGACCAGCGTGAAAACCCTGATTTGGGTTGTAATAAATCTAGTAGTCACTCATTCTAGATTACACTCCTGCATACGCCAAAACAGGCAGTGTGGCCAGCAGAAATGGGACAGAATGAAGGTCTGCAAATCAGGAATTAGCACCAGCTGGCTCCCAGGGGCACTAACTACAGAAGAGCGCAGTGTAGATCAGAAATGAAGCCTATTGGCAGGCATGCTCGTACAGGAGGGGCTGCAAAATGGGGAGTCACCCTCTCTCTCCCAGGAAAGGTAATATAGTTTAGCAGAGATGTGCTTGATTCTCCAGAGGCAGGCAAGAGACAAGTAAGCCAACAAGTGAAAGGCCGAGAGCACCTATTAGACAGCCTGTAGCAGGACATACAAACATTTAGACCCTTCAGCGAACGGAGGAAATATTAAGTTTGCATAACTGTGCTGTATACTTCCTCCACGCTAACCCTGGTGTGACCTGTACAGTCATCCTAACGGGGGTAAGCAAAGACTGCAAAACTAGCTCATCATTTTGCAGGAAAAAAAGCAACCGCTCAGCCCCACTATATAGTCACTGTCATGCACCAAACCAGAGCTGGCATTTTTGTGGGACTCGACTCACAATCTTCATTCAATGGTCTAGCCAAGCTTTTAATCCCTCCTCTTTAGACAAATATGTGGCAAGCCCAAGCCCATGCTCATTGAATAGGATTGCTGGTGGATTGAAATACAGGGGGTAAGAGTCAAACTAAACCAGGGTTGCACTTTAAGGAGCTACAGCGACGCAGAGGCGACAAAACGTTCCATGAAATGACAGAAGTTGTGGCAAAGTTTGCGGGAAGGTGGCGAGTGCGGCAGCCCGCGTTTCCCAGCAGTGACAGGCGC